CTCAAAAACACATTTAGAAATAAGCAGTTCTATGTCTAGACGTATTCAAAGCTTGAACGTTAATGTATCGTTGCTCGTATCAATCTCTTCATATCGTCGAGAGATTCGGAACAATGTTGTAAGATATGCATATAACGGCGCATACAATGGGAATAAGACGGCACAGAACGAGTTTCCATTTGAAAATGAGCCTTTGATTTTGAGCTTTGTTTCAATTCCTTCATCGCTGTTTGCAGTGCTTGAAAAACGAGCGAATGTACCTTTTAGGAACAGTGAATGGATGGAAACAAAGCTGCAAAATCAAAGGTGCGACAGTTGCCCAGTGGGTCCTGCGACGAACCTCCCCAACGTTTACCCATCCCATCCCTACCCAACATTCAGCATGCGGCCCCAGGGGTTGTTGGAGGCGTTTACTCATTCGAAGGTAGTTGGGTACGATATTTTACGTGCGCGCCAGGATGTGTATAACGGTTTCCACGAGGAGTATAAACTCTGTCCTACGAAAAGTGCTAATGGGCTGCCAAGGTACCAGAGTAAATCACATGCGATGGCTCTGGTATGAGGCTGGACTAGTTGGGATAGCTTGGAAACAATGTCACCCTAACTACTCTTCTCTTCAAGTTTCTTGGTGATGTACCGATACCACGACCGTACGGCTCTCTATAAAGAAATAAGAGTGGTACCTTCCATAAAAATAACAACGCCCACACGGCAACTGCCACTGTATTAGCCTAAGGCACTAAGCAAGCCTACTGGTCTTTGCCTCCGTACCTGAGTAGGTTATACTCCTCACATCAGCTCTGACAAAACTGATCAAACACATCACGATTTATTGATTTTAAATCTCTTAACTTCAAGTCACATTGAATTCGTTGGCCACTAAATTTTCAGTAATGTTATACATGCTCTCAAGACGTGACAATAGAGGGGTAGGAAGTTCAAATTTGTTAAACAACGTTAAGGATCCAATTTCCAACTCTACGAATCCAATTGGCAACGCAACAATATAATACATTGAACTGCTACCAGAATCAACTCCAGTATTTCAACTGTTTACACAAAAGGCTAAACAATATCGAACACCATTGCTAACGCGCATGGCGCAGAAACATCAACATACCGCAGAAAGCACTTCATAAGGGTAATGCATAGATACATGGGTAATGCATAGATACATGTTTAATACAATGAGACCTGGGAAAAAGTGTAGCACCGTACAATTTGAGGCCTGAGACATGATGAAGCACCGACTAAAATGAGGCCTTAGGGAATGATGATGCACAGAATATAAAACAATTATGCCTGAGGATTGATGAAGCAAACCACAGAATAAAACAATGAGGATCGGAACAATAGAAACAATACACTTCGACAATGAGGCGAGACCTGTCATTTTGGGCTTTTCTTGCAGGAACTCTGATCTGAAAATCGAAAAATAAGGGTCCAAAAAGATGAAAATTATTGCAACTTTTTCCAGGTATGACTGACGAATTGCGAAATGTGCTGGATGCACTGCGGGACCTGCAACGCGTGTTGCGGGGGAACCAGGATAGGATTGAAGAGAGGGAACGCCTAAGGGAGTATGTCCGAAGAGAACATGTGCCCTTCCTTCACAGTCGCATGAGAACTTTCGACGAATATCTTGCTCGGGAGCACCCTGACAGATTCAAAGAGTACACGAGGCTGACACCGCTGCAATTCATGCAGCTGTATGAGCGCATTGCTCCTTCGTCTTACTCATTCGTTGACACATGCGTCTCCTATAACCGCTCAACAGCGACTTTTTACTTTCCTTAGGTAATTTATGTGTAATTCATGTTTTCGAACACCGTAACGCTGATAAGGCTCAAAATCTCGAGATTAAGGTTTGTTGGACATGGCATCCCCTTCAACGCACTATGCCAGGAACTTCACTGTGGAAGAACGACAATAGGAGAGATTGTTTCGGAGGTGGGACGTGCCATATCGCAAGGTGGGGTCTTTTCTCGAACATCGTGATTTATTCGACGCTCCAGTTGTTCTCCTATTTCAGGGGTGTACGGAGAAGCCTTCCCACCAATCACAAGAGAGCATCTGGAGGAAGTGGCTATTAAAACGCAGCGAAGGTATGACTACCCGCGCGCTGTCGGTTTCCTAGACGGTAAACATATAGAAATCAAGGTAGGAGTGAACAGCCATCTTCTTATTTTTCTTTTACTTTCTGAATACGGTGCTATCAGTGATTCTAGAAGCCTCCACACTCCGGCGGCACATATTTCAACTACCAGAGAACACATTCCATCATATTGCTTGCCGTGGTGGACTTTGACAACCTCATAATGACTTTCGACGTAGGGGCGCCAGGCTCAGTAGGTGATGCTGGGTATTTCGCGCAGTCCAAAATCAAAGTAAGTGGAATACTATGCATCAGTTAGTGGTCTGCATTGCTCTTTTCCCAGCGTGTTTTTTCGAAGAGGAACGAGCACGCCTTTCTCCCACGAGACATTTGGGAGTCGAGCGGTGCAGTATACATAAATTGATCGCAGGCGGCCTTTAGGCAAGGTTATCGTTTGTACTAGACCCGTACTCAAAGGAGCGTTCTTAACGCCAGCATGGAGATTTATCGTAAAGCTTTAAAAGGGGGGCCCCGGGTGAGTATAGATCTTTCCGTGCATTGGAGTTAATTTAAGTATTTTTCAGCGCACCCGTGCAAGCGAACAGGAACGAATTCGTTGAAACTGAGCAAGGGCTTCCTAAATCCTCAGAAGTAGGTTATGCGAGTTGAGCATCGCACGTGATGGAATATGGTGATCGAGATGGTGGGGGATCAACTTCCCAACACCACATTTTGAGAAAACGCTTTTAGTTATCGAACTTTTTTAAGGTTCTCAATGCAGGTAAGAAAAAGAAAATAGGGAAGAGGGAACAGAGCGAGCCTGCAGTATCCAAAGAACCTCCTCTGGAAGTAGCGGACGATACCGTAGTACGATTAGCCAAAAATTGCAAGAAGGATTGGACGCCCGATACGAAAGTATCTGATACAAACAAGAATGCGCACATTTAATTAAATGTAATTTTGGTTGATTAATTTATGATACATATAATAATGATATTTTATAATGTTTAGATTATGTTTCTTCTACTACCTCCAATTGTTTTGAGAGATTTCCCAACGAACATGTCGTGAAACTACTCGTGTTTATTGGACTGCAGTAGGTATAGCTGCATAAGCACTTAACTTGGAACCTATTTTCACACTGCGTATATGCGTCGAACTTCGAGAGTTGCGGAGAATCTCCCGAGCATGACATTTCTATATAACGAAAGTACCGGAACGCAAATATATACAGAACCTTGAAACAGTTCTAGTGTAAGGATGCAGTTGAATGGCAGGACGCTGACAGATGTGTAGATCTTTCGTGGTGATTGAACTCTGTCGATCGAATGTTTTGCAAAAACAAGAATAGTATGATTCTGCCATCAATTAATTAACGATCCACTTCAATTTCTCCTTTTATTATATCCTCCGAATTTGAAGGACTGGCGTGGAGATTCACGTGCCTCGGGTTGATGACTTTTAAGATCTCTTGGCGTAGCCTGAAGTTTATATAGCCAAAAGGTTTTGAAGACTTAAAGTCAGGAATTCAGATCAATTCGAATTCACCACCCTGCTCCTGATTTCTATTGTTCCTTTCCTTGTAAGTGAGGGAGAGTGGCAGTGGTGCAGCTTGGGCTGGAGAGTATGACAGGCGACTTAGGGACTAGAGATGTCCTCATGTGAGTGGCCATCACATTTCTAAGGAATATAAATACCTATACAAAATTTAGATATGTGTATATATATATATGGAGTAGTGATCTCCTCCGTAGTAAATGACCCACCATCACTGTCCCTTCTCCCTCTTTTAGGTGCAGAAGACTGCAACGGGGGAGTGTCGTTTTGACTAGCCACAGAACTCGACTCCAGTTCCAGACTCATCCTATAATTGCCTTCCTCGTCGACATTCGATAGGTGGGGCTATAATAGAAACGTCATATGATTCCACCCGGAAGACTTCAGTTTTGAAACGCACCCGTCGTGCTGATTCCTTTCAAGAAATCGCATGGCCTGCAAGTACGTCCATTGCGGCCCCGAAGCAGATCCCGTAGTTGGATTGTTTTTCCTTCGATACGTGTCTTTCAAGTTTTTCCACATATTCTTGAGCTCCGCCACTGAATTTTTGACAGTAATCCACGAATGGCACTAATGTTCAAGATCCCAGACGGGAACTATGGCATACCGTTAGTTCTGTGGCCTAGACATTCCAAATCCTGCATAATGCGCTCCCATGCGCTTTCAACTCGATCTCTTCTGCCGTAATCAGGCGCGCCCTTATACCAAATGCACTCTTCCATTTCCATCAGGTCGATTAGTCGAGCACGCAACGAAACATGAGCGGGCATCCTTTGAGCACACCACTGTAATGTTCTACAACTGCGTTGTGTTACGCGAATGCGTTGTGTTACCAAGCATATATGTAGTGTTGCGTGTAATGTTCATATAATTGTGTTGACTGTTATCTCCTGATTGAATGTAATGAAAGAAAGGTGAAGGTAAAAGAATGGTGAGGTAAACAAAGGTAAGTAAACAAGAGTTAAGAACCCCACAAACAAATCAGGCACAATATTACTGGTTCCAAACACTTTGTTGCAACGTGATTAGGCGACAAACACTATTACTTTTTATCTCTGTGCAAGACAAGCAAACAAACGGTGCAAACAGAAACTAATCACCATATACATCCCACTACCACCCCTTCCACACTTTGAATGGGTGCATTACAACCACAATAAAATCACTACATGCAGAGAACATTTCGCACTATTAAGCGTTGGCCCTGCTCTACTTCTACAACAAGTATGAAAGCTCTACGAAACATGGTCACTACTTCTTCTCTTCTTCTTCGCGTTCAGCTTTCAACGGCACGCAGACACCACCTGCTTTTAGCATACCCTAGACAATAGATTCCATGTTCGGTCTCATTGAAACCTAGGCGCGTTGGAATAACTGCCTGTTGTTCATCTGTCATAGAGGTTGCTTTCCATGTTCGGTCTTCTTGGAACCTGGGCATCTTGATATTGTGTGTTTTTCTTCTTTTGTGCCGCACAGGTTGTTATGGTGGTCTCCCAGCAGCCTCCTGGTCACTAACGAGAGGAGGCTGC